AATTGATTCATTCTTCGTATATACTACATACTTTTCAATAACATGCATTAAGAATACTGAATAACGATGGAACTGTTCACATTTTAGAATACTCGAATCTCAAAGAAAGTGGTTAATCTCTAATATTTCTGTTGTATCTTTAAACATTTGTTATATTCGATTTATTGAAAGAAAGAAATTCATGTACTTGTGTCCATCAAAAGAGAGAACGAGTCCCCATTATTATTGTTGGTGATACAAGGAACATAGATCAATTCCGACAAGGTAATAAGTAGTGATGTACATTTCATCTGATATTTTCATATAGAGGAGTGATCTGAGGCAGTCAGAGTTGGACTACAAGTCTAGTCACAGATGAGTCCATCACTGACTGTCTGTATAAAGAAAGACCAGCGAAAAGAAAATAATATAAATATTCTATCTTTCTTTACTAAATTCGTCGTTTTTGATACAGTTTCATTCTTGCAAAATAAAGCGGAATGAATATTTTCTGAGTACTCACTGAGTAAAAATACTCAAAAATTGTTAGTAGAATGCATACGACTACTCATGGACAATGTCTAAAACGTACTCATAGTAGGAACACTTTCGCTAGGGTAATATCACCTTATACATTGGGATGGTAACTGTTTCACTTGACTAGTTTCATCTTTATTCAAATGACCTCATCAGTCATATGATGACAAAAATTTTTCCTCGCCTTTTGAGCACAAAAAAAGAAAAAAAACACATGTAAAAAATGAAACTGTATCAAGAATGTAGAATTTAGTGTATTTTCATGACGGGAAAAACTTTTTGGAATCGCTGAGTAAACAAATGCAGATATCCTCTTTTTTTTTGTTTCTATGGAATGAGGAATACTTTCAAACAAATCTTACAAAACCAAAACGGGTACACCAAAATGGTATTGTAAAATACGTTTAAGGCTATTTATATTTCCACAGAACCAACGAAAACGAGGACAACTGCATTTATTATTTAGAGATTCCAAAAAGGGTATCGCGGCATGGACATACCCTTTTTTACTTTTTAGAGAATAGCTGAGACCAGCTATCTTTATGTTCTTGTTTGTTGAAAACAAGAACATAAAGACGCTTTCGAGGTATTGGTTTCTCAAGGATTGCTAACCGTAGTCTTGCTAGTCGTCATAGAACAAACCGGGAACCTGACAAAACTCTTGCCTTTGAATTTTAAGGGATAAAAAGAGAGATAAAAAAGAGTGTACTTATGGATATGCACAGTAAAAAGAAAATTAGGAATATCCATTCTCGGAAAACGTTTATTCTGAATTTTTTTGACGACGCATCATGTCATATACGACTGTTATATGTTTGTGTTCTTTACATGTGTTTCTTTTTCTGTGCGTAAAAGGAAAGAAAAAATGTTTTGTTATCCTTTGACTGATGATGTCTTTTGAATAAAGATAAAACTAGCCTCAAATGAAACAGTTAACTTCACTATGTATAAGTGATGAGAGTCTTATTATTGGTTTAGAAACTAAATATTCTTCTTTCTGTTTTAGTTAATAAATCAAACGCTTTATACAAATATTGATTCAGATATGACTTTTACAATCGTCGAATTTTCCTCGTATCAAATATATATCATTACATTTCTTTTTCTGATCAATTCACTTTTTCTATCCGACTACTTTTAATAGTTGTATAGAGTATTAAGGGGGAAGAAGAGACACCTTTCAATTTTTTATCTTACTTATGTTCGCTCTACTACCATATTCAATATAAAATTTTTTCGAGCAAAAATGACTGAGAACTAATAAAAGTACGACAAAAAATTGAAAAGGTGTCTCTTTGCCCTCATAGTACACTATATCTGTTCATTGTTTTCCGTTTTGAAATAATTTTTTTTTTCTCTTATAAAGTAAAATATATTAGACTTTACTATACCAAAAGGCTAATAACCACAGACATAACTTAACCATTCGTTTAAAATCACAACTATTAACAAGCGGTGCAAGGACTGATCATGATAACTTTATAACTACGTTACTAACTGCGAGTAACGTTGAATGCCATAACTTTCTTAGTCATTTTAAAATAAATAAAACTGTTTTTCTAACTATATGATTTATTATAGGGAATAATTGAACTACTAATAAACGTTAAATAGAAAATATTGATAGGATGGTACAAAATACGCTAATGACAACAAAATAAAAAAAAACGTAGTAGCTCAGGTGAAAACATCTTCTTGTTAACATTTCTAGTAATTTTTTAAATATAATTCATCTATATCACCATTTGCATTCACTCATTTATCGATCATATCAACCACTAAAACAACACGATAAAGGAAAATAATGTAACGTGCATTTTTTAGAGGTAAAACTTACAGAAAAGCTGCATCACCTCCAACACCGTATGATGACGATTGGTAACTTGATGAGCCACCTAATCCTCCGCCAAATCCTCCACTTACGCCAAATCCTCCCAAATCACCGGATGAAGAATAAGATGAAGATTCATATGAAGAACCTCCATAACCACCAGCTCCACTTACGTCTAAGCCACCAAGACTAGCTCCACTTGCGCCTAAGCCAACTGCTCCACTTGCGCCTAAGCCAGCTGCTCCATAGCCACCTAAAACAGCTCCACCTGCTTCTAGGCCACCGAAACCGGCAGCTCCAGTGCCATATGAAGAACTAGATTCATAAGATGAAGCATAACCGGCTCCACCAGCACCTGCTAATTCACCTCCAAAGGATACATTCAAAAGCGATATCATTTTTGCTAACATAGAGCTATTAAATATCTGCAAAAGGATTTTTTCCTGTAGAAAATAGAAAATTGAATTGTTGATACTAACTGGATATTTTTTTTTCATTTTCATCGACTTTATTTTAATTTATTTTAGAGTTATAATTTTTCCTATCCTTTATCTAGATTTTTAATCAGTTTTGCTACAAATGCCACAGAAAAAAATGCTGACGTAATATTTACACTGCTACTAATTCACTTGTTGCTAAACCGGTGGCTCCACCGAATTCTGCACCAAAGGATGCACCTGAGAGTGCTACATGAGAACCAAGTGGTGGACTAATGTATATTCACATATTAGCTAATAATAAGAGATGGAGTAGTTCAAACAGTAACTAATAGAAGATGAGAAGCTTTTTCTTCCGAAGGGGAATCTAATACTGACTTAGAATATCTGAGAAATCCCACTAAATTAAACGAAAATATATTTTCACTCACTCATTGGTTATATGATAAAAAACGTTTTTGCTATAAAATCTAATATTAATGAAAGTAATCGATGTTTTCGCAAAAAACAAATTTAACTACTTTACTGTTCTCTTTTTTCGCATGAGAACAGCTTTTTTTCAAAGCACTTACGATATCTTCAACAACTCCAGCCGATCGTGCTTCTTGAAGAAGTGTCACACTGTCACGTAATTGAGCACCCCAACGTTGAACGTATACGACTGGATTTTCTTGTTGAACTCCAAGTCGTTGAAATTGTCGAACAACACGAGCTTGAATTGGTTCATATTGAATGATGACATTTCGTGGAGCTGTATATTGGTGAGCAGCACCTGCACGTTGAACAACTGTTCTTCGTTTCGCTTGTGCGCCATATGGGATCCATCGCTCAATGATTATATCACCTAAAGACGAAAAACGATATCACTATTCATTTCGAGTGTGAAACTGAAAATACGAAAGAAATACTAACGAGGTTTTGGAGGAGGAGCAGGTAAGCGTTCAGTGATGACTGATCGTGGTGGTACTGGTAATGCAGGCAGTCTTCGGATGACTAAAATTGAAATGAATTATAACATAGACTACAGACTTTTTCATTCGACTGTATCTGAGTTTACTTGTTTGAGCTGCAACTGAGGCTGGGATACGTGGTGGTCTTTCACGAAGGATAAGTGGAGGCGGCTGTGAAGAAAAGAAAGGATGAATTTAGTTTCATAATTAAAGTTGCGTATGTATTGCAAAACTATTAGGCTTACTTGTGGGGGTGCTGGGGCGCGTTGACGCACAACGAGCGGTGGTGGCGCTGGTGGCTGTGGTGGTCGAACTTCTCGGATGATCAATGGACCTGGTGGTGGAATTGGTGGTGGTTGTAAGAATCGAACTAGGATGTTTTGTTTGTATGTGACACCACCGCCTGGTGCTGGTCTACGGATTATTTGTGGATTTGAATCTTGATATAATCCTTGAGCATCCGTTGCATATCGTTGAACTGATGTACTTTCAGATGAATAGCCTGAGCTTCCATATCCGCCTACTCCACCGCTCACCGATGAATACTCAGCTCCATATGCTCCACCAGCACCTCCGTAACCTGCAACATCTAATCCTGCTCCAGATGAATAACCGGATGATTCATATGATGATGAACCGTAACCACCTGCTCCGAAAGCAGAGAGATCAGCAGCTCCTCCTAATCCGGCACCATAGCTTGAGCCTGATGAATACGAACTGTATCCACCACCAGCTCCAGCTAATCCAGCTAGGGAAGCATCGGCTCCATAACTACCACTTGAATAACCAGATGATCCAAAACTTCCTCCACCTACTCCACCTACTCCACCGGAAGAGACGAGATTACGAAATTCGTTTATATCTAATCGATTGTCTCTGTTTGTATCGGCTTGTTGAAATAATGTATCTGCCATTTTGTGATTTTACTTGCAGTTGATGATCTTACTTTACTAGTGAATGTTAGAAGAAAGATGTGGTGAAGCTAACTACAGTAGCTCTCAACATTTTATAGGAGATAAAAATCATTCAACCAAGCCATCAAAGAAACATTTTTTTCTCTCTCTTTCACTTTTACAATCTTTTTTTCATAGATTATCTTCAGATTTTGTGAAGGAAATAGGAATGCATAGAACGTATTACGCCTAACGATAATGATTATAAACAAGATAAATTTGTGGATACATAATTCAAGGACATCAGCGACTTGGTTTTGCGGTAGATAGTATCGTGTGGTTTGCTAAATATTTTTTTCTTTCTAATCATTCATAGGTAGAAAAAGAAGTATCGATTCTATCGTATACAAGCCGAAAATAAATAATCTTTACATCAGATTGACGATTATCTTCAAAAAAGAGCGATTCATATGTCAATCTGCATAAACATTCTTGTATTATGGATGGTTATCTTCCAAAAAAAATATGCGAACATCATTTTATGTACACGTACTCCAGAAAAATGACACGTCATAAAAATCTATGTCGAATGATGGGAAGGAATAAGTGGAATATCATTTTTCAAACAGTAAACTGTAAAATTATAATGAATAGCGCAAATATTTCAGAGTTAATATCTCATTCTGTTCATCAGCTTCTAATTAGTCAACTGAAAATCTTATTTGAACTTTTCTGAGATGTGCCTCTCGTATAGAAAAAAACAACACCAATTCCCGTTAGCATTAATCCGATTACACAACATCGATTATTGTACAACATGTAGACTATAAACAGTGAATTTAGTTTAGGAGTTCGTATATTTGAGTATTTGTACTAAAATGGTACTATCGATAGTTTTTAGAATATAATGGTAGATTTATTTGTGCTTTTATTGTAGAAGAATAAGGTTTTAATCAACAAAATCCAATTTATTTTGATTCTTCTGTAGTTTGAAGAGATGAAATCTTTACTAGGATACTAGTAGCCTAACGAATCTTTTGTATTCTATTTTCAATTTTATAGCACAGATTAGTTTTAGTACACTTCTACGAGCTTTCTTAGTAAAACAGTTTTTTGACGTTGAACCATACAACATGACACTTTGCAGTCTATAGAAAATAGTGCAATGTTCTATCAGCAAACAGATTAGAATTTAGTTTAGTTTAAATTTTATTCATTTAAAAAAGAGAAATAAGAATAGTTATGCTATACTGATGCGGTCGATATAGGCCATTTTATCAGATGAAAATGACATGGTAAATGATACAAGTGATCATACGGATTAAAAAGCACGAAAAATAAGAGACAAAGAACGAAAAATATGTAATATAAGAAAAAAGAAGAGAAGAATAAAATGAAACTCGCTAAAACATACCGCATTTGTATATACGTTAAGCAAAAACGAAAGAACAGTATAGAAAGCATAATACATTGATGTGGTTAGTTTAGTATCTAAAACGTTTGATAGCATTTATATATTCGATCATCGATCTAATTAAAAGTATATAGGTGTCCTTCTCAAGAGGTACATGAAGAGAGACAAGCCAAACTAAGAGAATTGCCGTTCAGTAAGAATCGTAATTTATTACACAGATGATTTCTAGAGATAGTATAACGGGGACAATGAAGTAAATGATGTTGACATGTTTCTATTTCGCCATATTGGCAACGATTAGTACCAGATGAATGTTTTAGATAAAGATCAGCATTTAACTGCGATAATAGATCTTATTTGATAGTAGGTGATATCAGCTTTTCGTGGAATCTTGTAAACTCGATAAACAGTTGAATTAGTCTGCATATGCGTTTTTAAAGGTTTAACAAAAATAGCTAGAGTTTTGAATTCTTTTATGTTTTGTTGTAGATATTCCGTTCCATTTAGCGATAGTAGAAGGAAAGACACTTTTATCGAATATTTCTCTTTGAGTCTGGATCAATGGTAGGTCCAGATTATTTTGATATCTTGTAGAATATTGATGTGTTACATTGCTTGGTAAATATGAGGATAAATATGGAGAAACAAGTTCTTTAATTATTTTATAAAATATAATAACTTTATGTTGAAGAAAACGTTTATCTAATGGTAACCAATCTAAACAATTTAAAATTTTTTCTTTACTTGACAACCGCAGGACGGCTGCTTCTTTTATTGATTCCTCAAAAATACTTAACAATATAGTTCTTGCAACTGCGTTTGATGGTTTTTCTTCTAATACTAATAAAAGCCTCAGATTTTTTGTAGAAATTAGAGTAACGTACTGTCCTAAAATCATGACCGTTGTGGACTTTTGCTTACATTTGACTATAAATATCTAAATTCAGTTGCTTCTGTGTTCTAGACCTCAAACGGTGCTATTTTCATTACTCGCTCAAGGCCATTATCGCTGTACAATCATTACATTTTCAGATCATTTCGGTCAGTTTCGCGAATAATCGACTTCATAGCCACTAATTTTCTACTGAAGTTTCAGCGTTATTTAAACTTCTATACTTTCATAAACACTGAGCTAAATATATCAAATTAAGTCATTCACTATAAGCAGATAATGAACAAAACAGAGCTGTTTGAAGCAGAGTATTATGCGGTCTTATTGGTTTAAGCTTTAATCTTGAACCAGAACGAAATCGAGAACATAAATTTTCATTATATCATTCTGAAACTTAAACTATCAATCATTGCAGAAAACAAGGATCAAACCTACGAACTCGATCTTTGCAGATGAAAAAATATTCTTGCATAATAACGCCATTCATAGTAAATTGAGTATATTGTGCGTCATCATGCTTTCTTTTCTAAATAAACGGTTTTTATTAAAGTGACGAGTGCATACCTAGCATATGTGCTTTACTTCATACCTTAATAAAAGCATAAGAAAATGAGATAATAAAAGGTAATTGTATAATATTATTGTCTTATTAAGCTATATCATGATTTCTCGACCATGGAGAGTGATGGATAGTTTGCACATCAAAAATATGCCCTTAACTTTGACTCCGAACAGATGGTAAACAGTTTCAATACCTGCTGGTAGGTTCGTCGTTTCTGTAGACCGAAACATAATTTAAAAATCGCACTTTGTCAAATCCTACTTCAAAAACATCGCTTTAGGGAATAGATGGTGTCTGTGAACAATGCACATTTTGTGGCTTCTAGTAAAAGTTTCATAACTAATGATCGAACCATCGCTCAGAGTTGCTCAACAGCTCTGTATAATAAAAGCAGCCATTCTATAAACTGACGAGAGACGACGGTCTTTTACAAATCATTTATTTTAACACTTTTAAAAACTTTTTGAAGCAGCGCGGTAACCTCTGATATTGTAAAAAAATAATACGGAATCTAGGAGTAGACTCTAAAGCAGAGTTGAAACCGACTGAGAATTTTCGAATCTGATCGATCGGTTAAAGAAGTTTTTTGGACCGTAAAGAACCGATCAGTGAGTCGGCTTTTTGAAGTCGGTTTTTTTATAAATGCGTTTATAAAATGAGTGAGGACAATCGTTAAAATCTAGAATATACTAAACTTTAGCGGTTGGGTTTCTCGGTTTGGGACGAAGACCCGTTGTCCTTGAGAGGGTTTTTTTAATTTTTTGACTCTTTTGGTTTTATCATTCGCCCTATACTTAAGGAACTAATTTTTTCGCCAATAGTTGACCTTTAAAACTAAACGAGAAAGAAACACCAACTGGTTACGTGAACAAACCGCTAACAATAAAAAAGAACAAAGAAAAATTAACTATATTTACAAACAAAAATCATCATATCGATTTAGGCCAACTTTTGTTCAAAAAAGCTTCTTTTTAAGTACAACTAATGATTCTACGGATACCGAACCCAATCGAGATATTTCGTCTGTTACAATTCCTCTAACTATTGAAAAATATCGTTCAGATTACGCAGACGATGCTTGAATTACAAAGATGGTTTTAACAATTTTAGTTAAGATTGGTAAGGTTTGTTGTGGTTTGTGCCCAAAAGACTATGGATTATTCCCAACATCTCAATTAAATGATAAAAAATCTTTTCAACCGAAAAACACCAGCATTAAACTGGCCTACTGTAATAATTCAATCATACCGTACTGCCAACCGGTCAGTCCTGGACGGGTTCTAACTCCGACCTAAAGATTATCTGATCCATAACATCATTTTGAGTTTAAATATCCATAACATTATTTGTCCTATCCAACAAAATTACATAGAGTTTCAGATTTAGGTATCGGACGGATTATAACGGGTGTTATAAGTTCAATAAAACTTAACTTCCTGTGTAGTTCGGTAATTCTTCCATCACTGTATGTCAAAAAAGGGCCTGTTAATTGTGTAAAACTCGAATGAAAATTGGTATTTAACGGCCATTATATTTTACTTTGAAATAACGGTGAAAATAATGCCAGATTATAGTCAATGTCTGAAAAAATGTCATTTTACGGACATTAAATGTCATTTCCGTCCATTTATTAGACCATGTTAATTAATGCTAAATAAATGTGCGTGTTACATGTTTTGAAGCAACTTTTTTCTCCATTTCAAAATGGCAAAAAACTGATAATAAATTAACATTTAACAGGCAGTTTATGGTGACCAGGTCATTCACCGTTTTATTCTGCCGTCATGACCAGTACAAATGACTCTGATTTTCCTAAAATAATTTAGACTTTTTCACTTCTTTAATTATACGAGTCATGGAATCTTGCCTCGAAGAAGTGGTCTGTGGTTCTGGGGTAGGTTCAGGCGATAGTACCTTAGGTTTCAAAAGATATTTTTTCACATTTTCTAACGGTCTAAAAATTGATATTTAAATGGCAAATAAAAGCGACGAGCAGGGTTACTGCCAGCAGTTAAATGCCGATTATTTGACCGTTTTTTCATTTAAAAAAATGGGAACTAAATACATTTAAACGTTCTCAGTGATAATGGCAAAAAACGACCTAAAAACTGGATCAAACGTCATATAAATTCCATTTAAATGCTTATTAATAG